TCTAGTGAATCATGCGTTTACTTGGTCTAAACAGAGAACCACAAATGTAGGTGGAATACAATATGTCATACCAGAGAGGATACTGCAGAAATATAAACAAGGTTATTGGTAAAATCGCAAGTGAAGCTATGAAGATAGGAACCCACGTTGTACCATGGTAATACGTTATGAAGAAAGCACTACTAAATGACACCATCATGCTGATAATTGAGATAAACAATGCCACTAGTCCAAATATCAACTTCAATGGCAATGACTTGAGAAAGTCTTCCTCAGCATATCGTGAAATGAGGATGGACAAGAAGATTAGGATTGAGGTTGAGGAAGAGACCAATGCCAATGCATCTGATAATGCAAATACCATGAACCAGGGTTTCGTCAAATAATTGGGAGATCCTAAGTTGTCGTTGTTACCACCTGGGACGCTGAAGGCAGCAGAAAACACTCCTGTTGCAATTAGGGTTGAAACAACCATACAAGAGTTAGCTGTTCTTTTCATCCATGACTCTCCCTTTTTTAGCAACTCTTGGTGATCCTTGATGAATAGTTCTCGTGGAGTAATGCCTTCATGGTTTGCCAGCTCTATAAATGATGGTAGCATTATCTTTTTTACCTCCTGTTGCCACATCAAGAGTATGTACATAATGTCATTTATGTATAACTACATAATATATTTGCTTCACTAAGCTATACATGCATAAATTAAGGTTTTTATTTATTTTTTTATTTTTTTTATGTACAATGATGGCAATAAGAATAAAATTTAAGACCTCATTCAATCTATCCAAATTAAATTCTCCATTATTAGGTCAATCTAAGTGGGTAATTAAAGATTGTTTTTGTTTTAACGCATCAATTTCTAGAAAGTAAACTTGAATCCAATTTTTTGTTTAATTTTTTATCATTAGCTAAATGTCGGTCAGTAATTAAGGTTGTGCTTGTTTGAAGCATCAATTTCTAAAAATTAAACTCGAAAATATGACATTCTCATATTTGATAAATTCTGAAAAAATATTTTCAAGTATGTTGATTATTAACTAGGAATGTAAAATATTCACAGTTGCTTTATTTTTTTTATTTTCGTAGCAGCGGAAAGTGGATATCTTATATTTTTGTCGAAATTGAAGTTGATTCCAACAAAAACTACTTATTCTCATTCATTCTTTCACGTTTCTTCTTTTTCTTTTATTTTTCAATATTTAAATTAATTTTTTTTTCAAAATTACTAAATATCAGCCAAACACATTCATGAAAATGATATTCTTAGAGGTAGTATTCTTGAGAATAGAATTGCAATGTTATATCTTAAAGCAAATGTCTAGCTAGCTTAAAAGAATCAAAATGGATTATATATAATTCTACCATTATGTAAAAGTAAAGTAATCATGATACGTAAAAGGAGAAACAAATAAAAGGGAATAATATAGAGAATGAAATCAATTAAGAAACTGTGAAAACATATAAGTTCCATACCTCAAACCATGACAACTCAAGCATAGGATGGACAAGAAGATTAGGATTGAGGTTGAGGAAGAGACTAATGTTAATGCATCTGATAATGCAAATACCATGAACCAGGGTTTCGTCAAATAATTGGGAGATCCTAAGTTGTCGTTGTTACCACCTGGGACGCTGAAGGCAGCAAAAAATACTCCTGTTGCAATTAGGGTTGAAACAACCATACAAGAGTTAGCTGTTCTTTTCATCCATGACTCTCCCTTTTTTAGCAACTCTTGGTGATCCTTGATGAATAGTTCTCGTGGAGTAATGCCTTCATGGTTTGCCAGCTCTATAAATGATGGTAGCATTGTCTTTTTTACCTCCTGTTGCCACATCAAGAGTATGTACATAATGTCATTTATGTATAACTACATAATATATTTGCTTCACTAAGCTATACATGCATAAATTAAGGTTTTTTTTATTATTTTTTTATTTTTTATGTACAATGATGGCAATAATAATAAAATTTAAGACCTCATTCAATCTACCCAAATTAAATTCTCCATTATTAGGTCAATCTAAGTGGGTAATTAAAGATTGTGTTTGTTTTAACGCATCAATTTCTAGAAAGTAAACTTGAATCCAATTTTTTTTTTTAATTTTTTATCATTAGCTAAATGTCAGTCAGTAATTAAGGTTGTGCTTGTTTGAAGCATCAATTTCTAAAAATTAAACTCGAAAATATGACATTGTCATATTTGATAAATTCTGAAAAAATATTTTCAAGTATGTTGATTATTAACTAGGAATGTAAAATATTCACAGTTGCTTTATTTTTTTATTTTCGTAGCAGCGGAAAGTGGATATCTTATATTTTTGTCGAAATTGAAGTTGATTCCAACAAAAACTACTTTCACGTTTCTCTTTTTTTCTTTTATTTTTCAATATTTAAATTAATTTTTTTTTTCAAAATTACTAAATATCATCCAAACACATTCATGAAAATAATATTCTTAGAGGTAGTATTCTTGAGAATAGAATTGCAATGTTATATCTTAAAGCAAATGTCTAGCTAGCTTAAAAGAATCAAAATGGATTATATATAATTCTACCATTATGTAAAAGTAAAGTAATCATGATACGTAAAAGGAGAAACAAATAAAAGGGAATAATATAGAGAATGAAATCAATTAAGAAACTGTGAAAACATATAAGTTCCATACCTCAAACCATGACAACTCAAGCATCATTTGAAGAGCTGCTCCAGAAACTATATTAAGTCGTTCTTGTGGTGCTAATTTTGCAACACAATGGAGTAAAGTGCTGCCTTCATCATCCATAAATGTTAATACGAAATCTTTGGTTTGTCCTATTTCGTGTATCAAATTGAAGATGCTAGAATGACGGTGCAAAGCAGCAACGTGAATTATACTTTGACCTAAGGTGTTTAATTCCCAAATCAAATCAGGATAAGTGCTCATCACCAGATAGAAACTCGAAATTTCCAACTTCTACGGCAAGGAATGTTACTTGTGTAGGCTCTCTTATGGCATCCATAAACTCTGAATCATCCAAGGTAAGAAATATCTCCCACATGCGTTTTGTAAGTTTCAGAACTGGAGGGTCCTTCTTGTCTAGGGCACACAATATAACAACTTAGTTGCATAATGAAAAAGTAACTTGCCTAACTCCATAGTTAAACTAAAATCAACATAACAATGGATGTATGAAAATTAAACTCCATATAGTTAAACTAAAATCAACATAACAATATAACAAAATAATATTTTGTTTTTGCATGTTGCTAAAATTTTCTAATTATTAATCAATTATAAAAAATCACTTTAGATATAATTTTTAAAATAATTAATGTAAAAACTAATAATCCATTTCAATCGAGGATCTGATGAACATGCCAAAACCACAGCAATAGATAATTAACAATTGAAAAGACAATCCAAAGTCATCATGATTTTATTGACAGAAGTGATTAAAATTAAGCCCTTACAGAAATGCAGGAGGTGTCTTGGATATCGCAGTTGACTTCCGCAACTACAAACTGAAGAAGGCTTTCTGGCCAAGACATGCAAACCAGTCTCACTATCATCACCTCGAGCAAAAGCCAGCGATTCCTTCTGATTTAGCATTTTCAGGGCCAGATCTGCAAGAATATGATCCAAATTAAGGTGTTTCCAAATTCTAATGATATTAAGATTAATGAGGGTGTTTACATTTGTTCGGATCTACCAAATTACACTTCCTAATTTAGTTAACTAGTGTGTATCCACTCTCATAAGTAATTAATGGGAAGGATTCAGCCTTTTAAAGAATTAAATTAAAAACAACTTTTCCAAGAACTACTAGAATTGATTGTTCACCTAGGTTTACTCCTCACTTATATATTCTATTTTGTCAATAGTCAAATAAAATTTTTAACATATCACAAGATATAAACATCTATGCATAATCAAATAACAGTATGATAATAATGACATAATAAATCCACCAATAATTATTAAGATATAGACTCTTAGAGATGTGGAATTGTAACTAACTCAATTCTAAAATTAATTTATAAAATGATGATTATTTTTTATTTATATATTATATTTTGATCATGATTGGTGGATATAAAATTTCTAACAAATGCTTCCAAAGTCATTGTTCAAACATTCTACCATTTTGACTTTTATAATACAAGTTTCCTTTCCTTATCTAAAATATTCAGACTTACAATTCCACATCTCTAAGAGTTTTAGAATTATTTCATTATTATCATACTGTTATTTGATTATCCATAAATGTTTAATTCTTGTGATATGTTAAAAATTTTATTTGACTATTGACAAAATAGAATATATAAGTGAGGAGTAAACCTAGGTAAACAATCAATTCTAGTAGTTCTTGGAAGAGTTGTTTTTAATTTAATTCTTTAAAAGGCTGAATCCTTCCCATTAATTACTTTATGAGAGTGGACCACACATACACACTAATTAACTAAATTAGGAAGTGTAATTTGGTAGATCCGAACAAATGTAAACACCTCATTAATCTTAATATCATTAGAATTTGGAAACACCTTAATTTGGATCATATTCTTGCAGATCTGGCCCTGAAAATGCTAAATCAGAAGGAATCGCTGGCTTTTGCTCGAGGTGATGATAGTGAGACTGGTTTGCATGTCTTGGCCAGAAAGCCTTCTTCAGTTTGTAGTTGCGGAAGTCAACTGCGATATCCAAGACACCTCCTGCATTTCTGTAAGGGCTTAATTTTAATTACTTCTGTCAATAAAATCATGATCACTTTCCACTCTCATAAGTAATTAATGGGAAGGATTCAGCCTTTTAAAGAATTAAATTAAAAACAACTCTTCCAAGAACTACTAGAATTGATTGTTCACCTAGGTTTACTCCTCACTTATATATTCTATTTTGTCAATAGTCAAATAAAATTTTTAACATATCACAAGATATAAACATCTATGCATAATCAAATAACAGTATGATAATAATGACATAATAAATCCACCAATAATTATTAAGATATAGACTCTTAGAGATGTGGAATTGTAACTAACTCAATTCTAAAATTAATTTATAAAATGATGATTATTTTTTATTTATATATTATATTTTGATCATGATTGGTGGATATAAAATTTCTAACAAATGCTTCCAAAGTCATTGTTCAAACATTCTACCATTTTGACTTTTATAATACAAGTTTCCTTTCCTTATCTAAAATATTCAGACTTACAATTCCACATCTCTAAGAGTTTTAGAATTATTTCATTATTATCATACTGTTATTTGATTATCCATAAATGTTTAATTCTTGTGATATGTTAAAAATTTTATTTGAC